TTACTAGTTTTTTTTTTTAAATAATTATTACTGACCTGCATTGTTATGTATACTGGCAAGAATGTCCTGATTATCTTTACACCTTTCTGCCATCTCTTCTTCTTCTTGAACCAAGATTTTTGGCAATTCTGTCATCATCTATAAAGCAATAGGAAACTAAATATTTATAAACGATACTTATAATAGAATTAAGTATGTTATTTAAAGGTTCACCTTTAGACACATATTTGATATTGTCGGTGTGTGCACAATTTCCAATGGGATTTGTGTTGCTTTATCATTATGAGATTGGAAACAGGTTAAAAAGATTTCTTGCTCCTATAAAAGTGTATTGTTATTAATGTAATAATTGAAAGGTACTATAACTATTATGTATAAGTATTACCTTAGAATCCTTGCTCTCTGAAAATACTGAAAATATCAAACCTACAAAGTCGTGGTCCATTGTTTGATAGGTTGTCTGAGTTGCAATATCTGGTTAAAGTATTTTCATTGTTAGAATGAAATTAGTTATTTGTTATGTTTAATGAGTATTTAATATCTATATTTACCAAGATGTGATGGACAAACTGTGATGTGTGGATGTGAATGATACCATCCAAGAACACGTACAGGATGATTTAGTTCTGCCGTTAATCGTTCTGCTTCAGCAACAGCTTTAAGTAGTTGTTCAGAAGAGATCTCTACCCTGTCTTTCTTTTTATCCAAACGTCGTAGAATGATAACAGCAACAATTTTTGCAATGCCACGTACTATCTAACATAAGTTATTTATGAAGGGACACATGTATTTTTTCAAGTATATGAGAAAGATCTAAAAGTATATTAAGTAATGAACTATAACGACATACATTTCCGATCAAGAGACCCATTACTTCAAAACTTTCCGTTGATAAAGCATGTTGGAGGCATACCATATACACATCCGTGTGTAATTCCACTTTTTTCAGTGGAGAATCAGCCATTATGAAACCTTTCTTGTAAATATAGTTTATAATATATGTAATCAAAACTGTGAATCTGAAACATGATATTAAACATTAACTTTATGTATATTATGATAAATGAAGTTTCAATAAAAATTGATTCTATAATAAGAAGTAACCTTCATTAATCAATTATCTAATATTACGTTTACTTGATTAAGTATATAATAAGAAATAAAAGCCTTGTATAACCTCTAATTTCATTCGAATGGAATATTTTATAATCACAGCCAGGGAAAAGTATTTGAAATTAAATTGTCATTAAAATAATTACTTCTTTAACAATTTTATGAGGCGATAAAACACAAGTGTCCTTTGTAGTCCTAGTAATAAAACATTCGTTAACTCCAGTATGTTATTTAACGTAGTTACTCATAGATATGCATTCGTATACATGAAACAAGTAATCCTGAAGCAACGACATTAATTTGTTTTTTATGTTTTTTCGTATTTTTGTATTAAAGTCAAAAGTAAACTGAATAATATTTGTCACTGCTCGTAGTCATGTCAGCTGTCATCTTTGCAATGGAGATCCCGTTTGCAACTTATACTACTAGTCTGTGCTGGTACAATTCTACTTTGAATTCTAACAACAGGTGGCGCTCTTATCTGTTACAAATGAAGTAAAAAATAATGTTTTATAATATATGATTACCATTTTATATCATGCTTTTATAAATTTAAAGTTAGTAATAAAGAAAAATAATAAAAATCGATCGATACAAGAAGAACGTTTATTTCCTTCATCCAAGCGCAGTAGTAGTACACATAATTGGAATTGTTGAATGTCCAGCAGTATAGTTTCAAGATTAAATATAACAAGCTGGTGAATTTAATTCTCTTATTGTGGCAGCGCCGATGATTATATGTAATCTAACCTTGATATTCTGACATTTGGGAATTTGACGGCGGTGTTATTGTAAAAGATGTAATGCTTAGTGAATAATTGGTTCTTCTTGTTTATTCCACACGAAAGAATAGCACGTTCAAACGGAATGCGCGATGCGACACTTAGCCTAGGTTCTTTTTACAGTAATTTATTTTTAGCACAACAAGAATTTCTTTGGAGGCGAAGCTCACGTCTGATCAACTATATTATTTTCCAAGCATATAAACACAGGTGCAGCAGCACGCAGTATTCTTTTAAATATTTGAATCGCTATGTTACGCGATCGTGAGAGCAGGTACTTGATATATCACTTATGTCGTCTCTACGCAACTTCTCCATGTTCTTTTTTCGTGAACAATATGAATTACGAATAATTTACAAAGCATATTTTATGCTCGAATAATTATATCAATTTGAATATTTATATTTTATAGAAATTTGAATTGTATTTTTAGAAAAAGTCAGTTGTTCTGACCACGTTTCAAATAAATTTTGTTCGAGGCCATATGAAGTTGTTTATTGAAACTTTCAACAGATATTTATAATATTTGTGTAAATATTTACAAAATTAATTATTATATGTTGTATTACAGATAGTTTTTGGATTAATCACTTGCCATAAATATAATGATCGCAGAAGCAGAAACAGAGGGCTATCAGCCAATGGCAAGTCTGAACGAAGAAAGTTTGTTTAAGCTGCAATGTTTGATGAAAGCAACGGAAATACAACAGAGCGCTCAATGTGAACATGGGAAGAAATTATTTTTGGCGTTTACAACTGGAAATGCAGAAATTTTTTTGTATTATAAAAAAGACTCTATATCAACTCCAATAATTAAAAGGATTCCTTGGTTTCAAGGATCTCACAAACAGATCTCAGCTTTATGTTTTCATTCTTTGGGATCTTGGTTGCTGTGTGCTAGCATTGATGGGTCTGTGTACATAATTCCTGCTTTGTGTTTGGTCGAAGAGAACTGTGACTTAGATAAAAGATGGACCAGCAATGATATAACATCTTTTCCTTCAATTAGTTCACAGTCATCCCATTCAAAGTATGTATTTTCTACATGTGTTATAAGTATGTATTACTACATGTGTTCGAGTTCTTTAATAATTTTATGTATTTAGACCTACTGCAATAGTATGGTGGCATGATACAGCAACACCTGCAGAAATTGGAATTATTGGAACTGAATATGGAGAAATAATATTTATAAATCTTGAGACTGGTTATCAAACAAATGTTACTCATATTAATGGGAATATCATTAGTCTCCATGTATGCCGTGATGAAAGTAATGACAGCGTATCTCTTTTGATAACAAGTCAGTCAAAGCAACAGTGGAGATTGCTTTTAGAGCAGCATACCTATAGTTGTTTGCGTAACTTAGAAAATGGAGAATCATACAATACATTACATACAAATGACACAAGTTATGATAACACAAGAACCTTTGCTGCTACCAGATCCAGACTGCAAGGACTCAAACAATTATCAGTGGAAAAACTTGCTATACTTAGGCAGAAGTTGATTGAAACTAAAAATCAAACTTTAGGTAATATTATCGTTTATTTGTTTGTTGTTCTACAGGAACAAATGTTGAAATGTCTCTTCTTTTTATAGATATCACAAGTAACCGAAATACTCACAATACGATTGTTAACTTTGACTCATCTACAGAAGTAAATCAGAATCAAATGACTCCTGAACCAATATCAAAGGAAACTTTTCTCATGTCTCAGTGTGATAGAGAAGGCCAGCAGCTGTACATGTGTTATCATTCTATCACAAATCACATAACAGTAAGAAATGATTGATAAAAATTAAAAAATAATGATGAGTATGATATTTAAGCAGTTGTATAATTACAGATACATGGACCTGATTTTTCAACTGTACCTTTATCAGTGCATAAAGTATTTGAATCTTGTAGAAATGTTTTATTAACGCAACGTTTCTTCTTTATCGCTGACGTCAGTCAGCATGTAATGTATGTAATATCAGACAGATTATCTGAAACACGTACAAACGATAATTGTAAATTTAATCCAGAGTGCATTGTTGGTCACTTTTCTTTAGCAAATAGTAAAGAAGTGATACTTGCTATGTATAGATCTATTGATTTTACAAATAAAACAATTCCTCGAGATACTAGAAACAAATACACATTACCAAAAGGAGTAAAAGATATTGAAATTGAATTACCTCATATGGATACTTGTATAATTGTAACAAATCGTTCTGTATATAAAGTTGTTTTGAGGTTGGTGATTGTATATGGATTATCCCAGATCTCAATCGTTAAACTTTTGAGAAAATAATAAGTTGATATGTTTTTACAGAAAGTCAGTGTTATCAATTTTTATGGAATTAGTACTGAAAGATAATGATCCTGAAAAAGCGATAAAATTGGCAATTGTGTTTGGTATTAATGCACAACAGTTATTAGAGCAAGCTGGTGATATTCTTCTGTCAAATAAACAATTTTCGCGAGCTGTGGCTTGTTACAAATTGTCTAAAGTAAGTCAATACTGTGCTAAGGTAAATGAAGGGGAATGACTAATATTTATAATTTATTGCAATTATGCATTTAATTTTGCAGTGTAGACTATTGAAGAGCGTATTAAAATGTGCATCTGCTGGTTATACAGCAGATTTATTAAGTTGTCTTACCCACTGTTTGGCATCTCCAACAAGCAGTAAATTACCTGTTACAACAAGGATTCACCTTTCTAATTTATGTGTACTTGCTTTCATTGAGATGACACTTAGGGTTCCATCTCAAAAATCCAGAATTATTTATAAAGAGTTTTTGTAAGTTTTTGACAAATTATATGCGCATTAATATACAAGTTATGACTAATAAGAATTATTTAATGCACAGGTATTTTCTATCTACAAATTATTTCTACGACGAACTGTTAGCGATTAATATTGCCGGACAAACGTGTTTATGGGAAGTGTTGCATCATTTAGCAACACAGAAATGTCTTTATGGACAAATGTTAGATGTACTCATGAGGACAATACATTCTTTTAGTGCAAGCACCTTTCAACCATCATGTAATGTATATTGTAACATTTCATTCCATTGTCCTTCACTTTAGAAATGGTATGCATGGCTATATACATATTTATCCATTTTAGATGGTTTGTTAATATGTGTAAGTGAACCAAGTTTGATGCAAGCCATGTTAGTAGATCCTGAGTTAGCTAGAAGTCACATGTCCTTTATTCTTGATAATCTTCAAGAATCTCAAATTTTTGTACTTCAGGTAAAGACCTATTATTTTTGCTTGTACATAAATATTTTTATTCTACTATCGATGAAGGTCTATAATATCACTTTTCGTTAAACATTAGAGATTAGTAACATTGTATGATCCAACGAATCCAGTGATAAGACCTAGAGTAGTACACTGCAGGTTACGCCATAGAACCACTTCGCACAGCTCACAATCTAGTCAATGTGATTCTATAGATCTCGTGGAAAATGTAAGTACAATATTATCTGACAAATAAACGATAGAAGATAATTATGTAGCACTACATACATTTTTAATTTTCCATAGGAGGAGGCTGACACATTAGTAGAGGAAATTATAGAAACTTTTTTACTCGTTTTACTGACTTTGATTTATAAGAAGTCTATCTTGCATCAAGAACCATTTCTCACATGCAACATTGAACTGTTAGGACCGAAGAAGGTATATAGTTAAGATTAAATATACTTTGTAACTGTATTGAAAACTAATCACTTTTTCACATATTGGAACAGGATCAAAATAAAAATAGTTATATCGCGGATTTTAAGAGAAGGTCATTATGCTCCGGATTCTGTCATGTTGTTCTCATTAGAAATGGGAATGTTTATACTTGGGGAAGTTCTGTACAAGGGTGTTTAGGTAAATCTCAAGTAATTATTTAATCAATTATTCACTTCTAATATGTATATTTTATTTTTACTTTTAATATTAGGAACTGGTCCATCTCTCTTGAGGTATGGTACACCTCAATCAATATCCTTCTTTCGAAGTATGGAACTGGAAGTTTTCAGTGTATCGTGTGGACACTGTCACACTTTAGCAGTTACTAATAACGGTGTTTATGCATGGGGGTCGAGTCAGTTTGGCCAATTGGGTTTAGGCAAGATTCTACAATCTTCGACTCCAGAATTAATCACAGCTTTGGCTCAAGAAGTTATTGTTGATGCAGTCGCAGGACAATATCATTCTATCGCGTTGACTGCTGATGGCAGAGTCTTCACATGGGGTTGGGGTGTTCATGGTCAATTGGGGCATGGCACAACCGATGAAAAATTGACCCCGACATTAGTTACATCGTTACTTGGTGTAGTTATACGCTGTATTAGCGCTGGCCACGCGCATACTTTAGCTCTTTCAACAGAGGGCATTGTGTATGCGTTTGGTTGTAATGTATTTGGACAGTTAGGGATAGGAAGTAATGTTAAAAGTTCAGTGCCAACGAAAGTTTCGTTACCAGAAAAGATATCTCTCATTGCGACTGGATACTTCCACAATGTAAGCTACGTTCACTGATGTTTCTTAACACAATAGATATATTCAACACATTGTTTCATACATCACATTTTTGTTCAGCTTGCCGTTAGTCATACAAATAGATTGTACATATGGGGTGCAAGCCCCCAAGTTCTTCGTCTGCAAGCACAAACGCAAAAAAGGACTCGAATATTGGAGCAACGGGACGCCATTGTAAAGCAGTTTGAAAACATTGATGAATTCGAGAAGACGGATTCCACAAATGACACCAGTGAGGATGTCTTGGAGAGTAATGCACAAAAGAAAAATGCACAACAGAAGACTGGAAACAGCACGGACTCTCGTAGAAAACAATTAGATATGTGTTTAAAAAACGTTGATATAGGACCACTAGAGGAAAACCAAGCACATTTGAAACCGTCTGTGGTAGATACCAGTTTAGTGAGGGGCGATATTGTGCAGGTCAGTGAAATGTTAAAAATGTGCAAATAATAACTGAATTATGCAAAGAGCATCAATAATATTATTCAGTTTTGTAACGTCTCTCGTTTGTGACAGATATCGACGGGTTGTCATCATAATGCTCTCGTAACAAAGGATGGATCTCTTTACACATGGGGTAGAAATTTAGACGGTCAGATAGGTAATGGTACTAAACGAGAGGTACAGATTCCAACGCCTCTTTGTTACAATCCTGCTTCCATCTTTGCGCAAGTACCGCCAAGGCATAATGCCTATGAGAAAAAGGATGAAGAACAAGAATTAGTTGAAGGAAACAATGATAGAAATGGGAACATGAATGGCGAAATTAAATCCTTCCAAGTGGACAGTAATGAATTCAAAGAAAAAGAAAGTCCTGTGATTAAAACCGTTGGTGTATATTGCGGATATGATTATACCGTTGCGATCCAACCAGGTATGAAAATTATGCAATCGTCATGTTCACATTGGAACTCTTACTTATTATTCTGCATTTTTTAAGGCGGTACTGTATTGGCTTGGGGTAACAACAGGAGGGCACAATTAGGTCGTCTGCCTCCAAAAGATACACGCGATGCGGATGATAAACTTGTGTTAATTAAGAAGAGAGTAGTGAGGGTCCCTAACACGTCGCACGTTGCTTTAGACATGCCTAGTCAAGTTCCTAGTATTCCTACCCCAATCATTTCCTATCAAAGTTACGACTTGCCCTCTCTGGCAGGGATGGTTCGTCCCTTGAGCGTCATTGAGAGGTCACCAGGTGAATCGACGCTCCATTATGCATTAGAATATTTTTGTGGCTTGTACGATTCTACCAGAATTATGGAGAAGGTTAGTTCATTTTATTCTATACACTTTTTAGATGTATTTAGCTGCTTCTGCAAAATTAATCTGTTCACAGTGCGTTGAGTTGGGAAATTATCAAGCTTGTTCAAAGATATCCATGCTTCAGCATAACATTTCTGACGCACTTTCGTACCAATTAAAAATATTGCACACCCTGAGTCAACAATCTTGCTCGAGAGACAAGCCTTCTCAAAATACACCTGACAAAGAAGAGCATAGATCTGAGGAGATTTCTGACTCGAAAAGGAAGTCTTTGCCGAATCGTCACGTCAAAAAGAACACCGAACTCTTTAACAAACAAGTGGAGAAAAATCTGATTGATTCCGTAGAAGACTGCGCCGCTAAAAATAAGATGAAAATACCCGCGAGTAAATCTCTGAACAGTTTACAGTTGTTGCAGCAAGAATTATATACGTTTGATTGCCAGGGTGGCTCGGAGGAATTGTGTAGAGAAATGAAGTGTGATAATGCACCATTGGGCATTCTCGAGGATACATTTGATTCCGACGTTAGTTCCGATTCAGAAGAATGGATGGAGAATATTATTTCTCAAGAGGAAGAAGGCGAAGAAGAGATGGCGGACAGGGAAAACGAGGAAGTGACAGAATCCACCGGAAATCATTCAGCATCTTCTAGCGTACGTGCAAAGGAAGGTACAGATCAGGATCGAACGTGTCAAAAAAATAGAATCTACCACGAGAAAAAAATAACCAATACCAAGCAAGATAACGTAACCAACGAATCTGTGAAAGTCATTAAGTTCTTCTTGCGTGAAATGGAGAATGAAACAGACACAGTGAAGTGTAAATTATTACAGAATATTTTAGATTTCTGGATAGAACACGATCTGCCGATGCATTGTATAGAGAGTGTTTTCCTGGATCACATCGAATCGATTTATTATCCACTTGGACTGTTATTATTTTGGTAAGAATGCGATAGAAATTAGTTTTGATATTGCCTTATTTACTAACTAATTATTGCACTTATTTTGACAGTCAAGAAGTAATGGAAAAGTACTTGGATACCAATAAAAATGACACTGAAGTCAACAAGAATTATACAGTAATTAATTACTTCTCTTCGAAGTTTTGTCTAGAAGTGTGTTCCTTGTTATTACATCACATTGGCCAAGGTAGGTTAATTGTTATCCCATGAAGAGTTGGTATTTTACGGTGTATAATGAAATATATTTTATATTGTAGATCAACCTGCTCCTGAGTTCATTAAACTACTGTCTTCTTTAACGGCTGATCATTATGGGCCACCACTTACTGGATACCCTGGTTCAGGTTCAAATAATACGTCGAAGCAAATGATAGAAGGTGTTATAAGTACTCTATCCTTCGAGACTCATGACTCTAGGTCGTTTGTGCATATTAAGGTAAATTTTGAATTTATTAATATTGTCACTGATTTTCTTGCATATGGATTTGTCGGTGTAACGTTGAAATGAACATTTTCGAATCAGGATCCGGATACTGTATATAGATTCCTTGCGACTGAAGAAGATACAATGGTATTTACATGCGGTCATCATTTTCCAATGACCATGTATGACACGGAGTTAATTCCGACGATGGAAACAGAGTTGTTAACATCCGACTCGCTTGTTCTTCCATGTACAGCTCAGTACTTAGGGAAAATGTTATCTCAGACGTCCAAACCGGAAATACTGTGCCCGCAGTGTATACCGCGAGCATTAGGAACGTTGGTGCAGAAGAACAATAGTTAAGAAGTATGTACCTGAGATTTTATGTAATGAAGATTCATATACAGATTTTTCTTAGATTGAAAGATTCGAATTATACACGTGAGATGAACGTTTCAATTAATTGAAGATATACCAAGGCATAGTTGGTCCAAATTGAAGCAATTGAACGCGACGTTTAAGCTCTCTATGACTTTTAAATAATACATTTTACATTATTTATGAGCATAGATGGTTTATAGGAAATTAGGTATTTTTTTAATTGTTTAACGACTCACAAGTTTCATAATCTGTCGGAGATATACGCACACTGAAATTGTACATATTCACTGTAGCGACCGACTTCGTGTGTTCAACTGTTTTTGAAAAGCCTTTTGAATCATGAAAATAGACAACGTTATGTTTTGATATTTTCAGATTGAACCCTTTAAATATCACGAATTATAATAATTGTAATGAAATATATTACTTTTAATTGATAGATTAATTCTAGCGAAATTAGAGGGTAGTTGGAACTATATGTATATTTTGAAGTATAATTAACGTTCATCATTCACATACAACGATAAAAGTTGAAGTAGAACGGAATGAAGATTATTTACTGTCAGTCAGCGGAGAAGTCTTAAATTTGCAACAAAGTGTAAACACAATAAATTGAAACCAAGCGAATGCTTTTCATACAAGGTTTTTAGTCTTTCTAAAATTCGTTGTCAATTATCTTTAACAATATAATGTAATATAATATTCATGATTTAGAAAGGTAATTAAAATATTTTTTATAACTTCACATTTTACAGAACATTGTTAATCATTTTAAGTATTACATTACGTTGTGCGTAAACATTTCTGTTTCATGGAATATGTCACAGATGAAACGTGCAGTTTTATGACAGACAAACAATTTTTAATTCAGTAGTAAGAACATGATATTGAATCGTGACATGAAAACGGCTCTAAAGAAAATGTGTTATTCGTATATGGAGTTTATAAATTTATTTGTTAATTAACCACATTAATTAGTACATAAACTATAATATACAATTGTACAGTGGGTATTAAATTACTAATGTAAAATAGAAAAGAAATAGGGAATAGAGTCTATAATTGCAATTATTAAACGAAATTGGTGCAAAGTACTAATGACTGATGATAAGTCTATTGATCTAGTCTTCAAAGTATATGCCAGAATTGTATATTAATCAATCGATCTTATTAAGGATCGAAATGAACATCTCGGTAACATAAATACATATTGTGATTCTACGTGGACTTGTATCTAATTTTGATTAGAGGTTGGATGTATCTGTATAATAGAGAACTTGCATCGAAATTTAATATGGCATAATAGACACAAACTATTATCTTTTAATAGTGGACTAAAACTAGAAATCATAAATGAACATGTAGTATGTTTACGTCATAGGACTACTCTAAAAAATTTTGAATCATTAATTTGAACAGATTTCAATACTTAATCGATGCAAGTAGTGAAATCAAATTGTACAAATATACATAGAAATATATATTGTTATTATTGAAACTGTATGATTACTACGAACTAAATGAAGATGGAAAACGAAACGATGAAGTTCATGATAAAATTATACTAGGAATACAGGTTGTAATATCCAGAGAGGCGAATCAATTACTATTATAAATCGTATTAGTCCCATATGGACAAGAACTTTTTCAAGTATTGAAAACCTGTACCTTAAGGACCTAAGTTATTGTTATTCGAGTCACCAATTAAGAAGTTTTATTTTAAATCTGTCTTCATGTAGATCGTAATGATCTTTTTATTTAAAAATTACTACTGCCGAGTGTTTAATTATCTTCCGTAGTAGGATGTAATGTATTACGTTCAAAATATTCATATTACTCGTTTTAGGCAAAACAATTATTGCAATCTATTCCTTTTTTTAAAGAGAATTTTTAAATTTTGAAAAAGGGAACAACCGTTCAAGGAAGTGCAATATTTTGTATAGTAATAACGTTGAGTTACCTCTTGTAACATTTACTCTACTTAAATTTAATAATACATTTTAAAGTAGTAGCAATTTTCCCTCGACACTTGATGTATAGGCACATTAAACAGACGTAATGGAATAGACATTTGACTTTCGTTTAGTAAGTTCAACGGTTTTCGACAATGTTTCTGAAGTAGAACAGATTCAAAGAAATATAAGATTTCATTGTATATGTATACGACCCGCAATAATTTTATAACATACAAATGTACAGTTCTAAATGTCCCTATATATGAAGTCTTTCACTGAGAGTACTTAGATGATTGAAGTATTGATCAATAAATATGATTAGCAAAATTAATTGTTGTTTTATTTAAAAATGAGCCATTCTCAAAATGTTTTTTCTACTGTGAATGAAAAATTCAAACCACCCTCATTTTTCATAATATTTTATTGAGAAAATAATATCCAAAATACATGTCTCTCTGTACATAATTAGTGAATCAACTCTTATTCACCTCTCACTTGCACACTTCTCCATAAAAAAGAAACTGTTTGAAACATTCATGAATACTTGTCCTAACGATACAGTTGATAAAGATGAAACCTCCAGCAATTAATTTAGAAAATCTCGCATCAGCAAACTGTTCTCATAATGAATAATAAAGTAAGATTTAGCGAACAACATTGTAATGCATTAATGATTTTAACATTAAATTACAATTCCGAATCAATGCAGAGTTCTATCATCACTTCTCAGTGTCATATAGAATGATTATCTAATACATATCCAGTTCCTTTAAATAGATTTCAATGTATTCATCAACGAAATTATTTACCGAACCTACTTGGCTCTCTCCAAGCATCATAATCGAACTTCAAAGTGACTGTGAAATAAAAGGTACTCATACTTAAAATCCACTTCCATTCTCGAAGAATGATAATGATTATGAGGGTTCGATTAACCCTTTACACTCGAGAGGTGACTCAGTCACCATTCGATTTGATACAACAAAATTACAAAGTGTTATATATAATATCAAGTTTCGTATATCAATATGTGAAACATTTTTGTAAAATATCTTTGTCTCTTAATTGACGTATGTTTTCTCATTAGCTTTCAAATAATGTCTACGTTTCATCGGAAAGTGTCGAATGTTTCTAGTGAAGATCTTCCCAGTGCAAAGGGTTAAAACTTATCAATTTTACTGGCAAGGGCATCGAGTTCGGAGCGAATAGCCTGTGGCAAGTCGTCGCCGACTTGCGCGTCGAAGTACTCTCTGAGCTGTTCGATCTCTTTCAGCCAGAAGTCCTTCGGCAGTTTAAACAGCTGGTCCATGTCAACCTGGTCCTTCATGTTGTCCAAATTGAAGGAATCGAATCTCGGCAGAAGGCCGATGGGAGATTCTACAGCGATGTCCTCGCCGTCGATCCTGCGGAGGATCCAATCCAGGACGCGGGAATTCTCGCCGAATCCTGGCCAGAGGAACCTCCCGTTCTCCCCCTTTCTGAACCAATTCACGTGGAATATCGCTGGCAGTTTGGCGTTCTCTACGTTCGCCATGCTCAGCCAATGATCGAGATAGTGGCCGAAGTTGTAGCCGAAGAACGGTCTCATCGCGAACGGGTCGTGCATGATCACTTTGCCCTGGTTGTTAAAGACAGAGCTTGATCTCTTCGAAAGGCAAACTTAACTCTAGAGTCACCTATTAATTTCTACTAAGGATACTGACAAAGGTGTTCCTTATTGTCAGGATTCGCTATCATCTTTGAAACTATACACAGTAGAACCCCGTATAATTCGATTTGCAGGAAAATTATGAAACGATAGATCCAATATAAAACTTTGAATAAGGTAACACAGGAAACAGAAATAAAACAATTCTGTCCCATAATTGATGCAAGATGTTTTCTTAAGTTGCGAATAATACTGTTAACATTTCATTTCAATTAATACTTGTAAATTTCAAAGAATCTTCCGCAAAGGGTTAAGACAGTTCGAATCGCTCACCTTGTGCTCGGCAGCAGCGGTAGCTTCCGACCTCATGGAAGCCCCGATGAAGACACCGTGTTGCCAGTTTCGTGCCTGATAGATTAAAGGAACACCCTCGGGTCTTCGTCCGCCGAATAGGATAGCGTCTATGGGGACACCGATCGGGTCTTCCCAAGCGGGATCAATGATAGGACATTGCTTCGCAGGTGTGCAGAATCTAGAATTAGGGTGGGCAGCGGGCACTTTGGATCCCCTGGTCCACTTATTGCCTCGCCAGTCAGTGATCTAAAAATTCAATACTCTCTGACAAACTATAGATGTTTGTTGCGTCTAGTATAACTAATTTAATCGATAAATTAAGGGACAAAGCTTAATATAGAAACATCAAGCTTTATAATTCTACCGTATCAAACCAAGTGATTGAGAGTCATCTCCAGAGTGCAAAGGTTAAATGAAATATTGCTCTTGTTAGCAGTTTGTATGGTTTATACTAATTCTAGACATAACAAGAGCATGGAATGTTTTCTTTTACTAGTGTTTAGTTTGCATTATTAACGATAAATAGTTCTAACAAATGCACCGACGAAATTCAATTATAAGGCAAAGGGTTGAACATTATTCAGGTTCTAAGCTCAACGTTACCTCGACGTTGTCACTGATTTCTTTCTCCAATCCCTCCCAGAAGACTCCTCCGTCGCTGGTGGCGGCCACGTTGGTGAAGATGGTGTCCTTGAAAATAGTCTTCATGGCGTTCGGGTTCGTAGCGAAACTGGTGCCCGGCGCGACCCCGAAGAAACCGTTTTCGGGGTTAATGGCGCGGAGCTTGCCCTCACGGTCGAATCTCATCCAAGCGATGTCGTCGCCCACGCACTCGATCTTGTACCCCGGCAGGGTCGGCTGCATCATGGCTAAGTTCGTCTTGCCGCAGGCACTCGGGAACGCGGCGGCGATGTAACGCTTTTTACCCTTCGGGTTCGTGATACCCAGTATCTAGAAAAGGCAACTGATACAGAATCTCTTAGACAAACGGCAAGCACGGACCCACGTTGTGGTGCAAAGTAGTTAAGCTTCCGAATACTTTAACACTAGAACTACCAAGCAATTGACTTCTAAATTTCTTTATAAAACTCCTGTGTATTTATTAAGATCTCAATTGGCTTAGATTTCAGTGTAAGTACTAAATCAACTTCTTTAACGATCTCTCACAGAAGCGTCTGTAGTTTTTCAATAATTGTAAGAATCAGGAATGGGTCATTTTAACGCATCTGGTAGTTCTAGTGTTAACACATTATTTATGATTTATAATGAACATTAAGCTTCTAAAGATTCATATTTTCTCAGATCTACTTTGACACAAGCGATTCAAGATATATCCTACGCACTAGAAATAATTGTTAATTGGTATCACACGTTATCTCATCTAGCTGCTTGTGTTACTAAGTACTTTGATTCGACAGTTTTCTTATTGCAATTGTATTTAAGCAATTTCGAAGCTTCGTGGCAGTCAATACGTTGATTGAGTATACTATTCTAACAAGAGTTCCAAGGTCTCCACTCATATCGAGCAGTATCCCTGAACAAGTTGTTTCAGTGTTACGCACAAGCATGTGCTCAGCGAGCCAGCCCTCTTTCTTCGCGATCGTCGAGCCAATCCTCAGCGCGAAGCACTTCTTCCCCAGCAAGGAATTCCCACCGTAACCGCTCCCGTAAGAGACGATCTCGTTCTTCGCTGGTTTGTGAAGGATGATGGTCCTCTCCGGATCGCAGGGCCACGAGGACATCACGGGGATTTTCGTGTCCAGTTTCGGAACGCCAACGCAGTGCAGACACTTGACGAAATCGTCGTTTCCCAGGGCCTCCAAGACTTTGCTTCCCATTCTGGTCATTACTCTCATCGAGCAGACGACGTACGGCGAGTCAGTGATCTCTATTCCTATTTTTGAGAGGGGAGATCCGACCGGACCCATGCTGAACGGGATCACGTACATGGTTCGACCTGGTTGGAAAAAAGTCGTTGAGGAATCGTTTCCAGAAGATTGGTCGTTGAACAGACGATGTCAAAATGATGCTGTTTCGCAAAATGTTTTGAGGCTTTCACGATCTGGAGTGTTACATTCGTTTCTGGCTTTCCGGTGAGAGCCGTGTCCACTAGAAATTTGTTCTCAACGTTTCGCCAGCATTGCAGCTGGCTTCATCAAGGGACTAAAGGTAGTGACGATGTGCCTAGTGGACAATTCCTAGGCTCTCACCCGAAAGCCAGAAACGAATGTGACGTGAAAATGGTTATTAACCCTTCATGCATCCCGGGAATCGTTCCAGAATCGCCTGGTCCATGTCATTGGGCGAGATCCAGTTGCCCAGTTCTCCAGTGACGCCATCGCGAGGGGTGGGAACGGTCTCGCGCTTCGTTTCCGTGCTGATGAACGTGCGTTTCTCTACTCTAGCCACGTCCGCTGGGTTCGTCCTCGCCAGCCAGCTGAAAACCGAGCAGAACAAGTCATAAACGATTCTATATTGACAATTCGCGTTGGAAACGTTACAGGATATTCTTGAAATTCTCACTCGCTGCCTATTTAAAGATCGCTTCCGATTCAACCGTTTGGAACCATGGAATTCTGTGTTCTACTGATTATCTATGGCGAGTCGAGACAGCTGATCGCTGACCGGTCGCTATACACTGTCTATTATAACACTAATATCGTGCATCGCGTGAACCTTATAAAGTAAGTGTTATTTAAAGAAATGCTGGGAAAATGCCAGCCGAATTGAAAATAAGCAAGGTCACCTACGCCAACCACTTCCTCAGCTTTCTATATGTTTAAGTCTATTGTTGTTGAGTCGTTAGCAATCCTTTAACGTGAAATTCTGCTGTTGATTCTTACTGTTCACAATGTTCAGCGAAAACCTGGTTGAAAACTGTTAAACAGCGCTTCTTTCGTTTTAGTTGAGAGATTACGCTTTTATGTTTTTATATAAAATTCTGAATAATGCGATCGTTCCATTCTTCCATGTCTAAGCAGGTAATAGCAAAATTGGAAATAAGTAATTAGAAGGGAAAATAAACTCAGTTCGAGCGCGATCGCGTCACTTGGCACTCGAACGGTTAAGGAAGCGTTCATCGATGATTGCAGTTTTCTGAATAGAACTCACCAGTTTTCGTATTTCGGCAGCGGTGAGATGGTGCCGCTCTTCTCCAACAATTGCAGCAGATGACTGTACTCAGCCTCGCTGCCGTCGCAGACGTAGATGTCCTTAGGGTTGCACAGGATCGCGCATTCCTCGACGTAGGAGCGAATTTTCGGAGCAAGAGACTCGGCGAGGGTGTTCGACAACGGTGTCTTCTCGATGTACTCGTAATTGTTGCTCACCGCCGGGCTCTTTGCCGCGTGAGTCACCAGCAACCTCGAAACCCTGCAAAGATTAATTAATCGTATTGATTGTTCCGTCGATCTGATACAAAATATTCCTTCGATTGCCCTCTAATAAACAGATGGAAGCAGGTAAAGTATCCATGCGATTCTAATTAAGAATACTATAATAGTTCACGCTATTTGTTCAATAACCGATAGTCTTTAACACTAGAACTACCAGTCAAAATGACTGCTTTCGAATTTTTGTTTAGTAATTGATATCTTCGAAGCATTGAATATTCGAAATGATTTTGAAAATAAATAGTTTCAGTACTATAATGAGTGTCTGAAGAAATTGAAAATAATCTATTGTCACAATTTTTATGGGAATTGCATATTAATTGTATTAAATGCTCGGTAGTTCCAGTGTTAAAATATCTTTGACAAAGCTTCTAGTCTAATTTCTAGCTACTTTCTAAGCTATTTCTCTAGTTCTTGCATTGGATTGACGCAACAATCTTAACGTTCTTTGTACATAGTTAACAAATTGTTTCCTTCGAAACAATATGTATTTTCAAACTATTGTAACTAGTATGAAGGACCCTTTCTTCGTTTTCACTTAGTGCTGGTTTAGCCAACAGTCAAAATTTTTGCATCGATCCATTTTCATTGTGATGCAAAATGACATGAATGCTACAAGATTAATTCTATATAGCCTTAACTTTGTGAAATTATCATGCACTTTAACCCTCGGACAGCATTTGCATTCTTCCTGTTTCTCTGACTCTAAAATTTGTACTGTGAACGTGTTAAATTCCCCTCAGGAAAATCTTTGTTTTGAAGCGTTCCTGCTCATCGGTTCGTCGAGCAAGAGTGTGTTAGATCGAACAGCAACTTCATCGGCTGTTGTGTAACAGGTTGTTCCGCGGGAAGCCTGTCCACAGCGTGTCCGATCGATCCACTCTCACTTCATCAACCGTAGAGACCTTGCCGACGTGAAAAATGAATTTTCGCGTTTCGAGCACGCTACACGGTGGCCAGTTTCTGCGGTTCACTGTGTCAGCGAGTTCTCTGTCGGAGTGTGCAGTAAGTAGCTGCTCGTTACGGACGCGTGGCGCAATTCCGGGTTCGAACCCGTTCGCAGGACATCGCGTACATTTCGCTCGGCGAATCGGCGCTGGTCACGAAAATTTCATCGCATTACGGTACGGAATTACGAGATTATTATGCAACAAAGAAGGACAATAGTTGCGCAACGTCACCGTCGGACGGTTTCGTTCTATTTCTAATTATTTATGTTTACAGAGACTCCGCGTCGGATTGTTGTATAATTGGCTCGAATGTATCGGCGAGTCGAGGAGGAAAAAATTCGTTGAATTTATAATTCTCCGCGATAACGCGCCGCTTCGTTAGACTGCTCGCGACGCTATCAGACGAAACGTTAATTCCCTGATAAAGAAGTTAATGAATGAACCCTGCGGAATAATGACACCTGTGTCTCGGCTGCGAGAAAGTTCGGAGATGTTTTCAACGCGAGATGAAGCTGGAATAATAAACTGTTGAAACTGCAACGGAGTTATTGTTTTCTAAACAGACGCGCTGATGCGCTCGTTCTAATATTTTGTTGACCTCCTGACACGATAATTAGTTCGCTAGTCTCAATTAAGTTTCGCTGATACAATCTTCGCTTAATTATTATAAAGTATTAATATTAGTCCTTATTTCATAAGGATTAATGTTCTTCCTTTTCTTTCCATTTCCAAAAAAAAAGTCTAAGTCGTTTATCATTCTATAACCAGTAAACTATAACAGCAACTATAGACGATTAACCATGATAATTATAAATACATTAACTATAGTAGCAGTAGGTACAAACAAACTTCCGGTAAGTTTACCATTAAACCCTTGCGCTGGAAAACAGTACCACGCTCGAGATATTTCCGTTCCAAAATTATCGAACACATCTTATAAACATCAGTCTACTTGCATTACGCACACTGGGTTCTTTCGAAACGTATCCCTCTATACAAAATGATCAACACGTTGACTGCCACGGTGGTCACCGATGACCGGAGCTATCAAATTACTCGAAAACAATTATAATTCATAACATAACTGGCGTCAAATGAAAATGTTTAGTAACTCAAATAACTAGATTATAGTGTGACCTAATAATCGTGTACCAAATAATTGATAATTATTCCTTCTTACTGTTGCTACAAAAGAATAAGTGGTACAAATAACGCTGAAGCTTTTCGTGGCAGTCAATGTATTAAAAAAAAAATTAGTTTACATCCGCGTAAAGCAGGTAAAAAGCAACATTGTTTCAAGCTTTCGTCCTTAAACATTCCTTAAACATTCCTTAAACATTCCAGCGCAAGAAGTTAAATCACGTCTACAACATCAGCGTCCAGCCAAGCCAACCATCCAAAGAACAACCCGAAACACCCGGTATCTACTTACTGCGGGTAGCAAACGCCAGCCGCGCGCGGTACTTTAACGCTTCCGCTCATGGTGCCGATGCGATGGCTCAGTTTCGCGAATCGTGCGGTTTGCTGGCCGGTCTTCGGAGGATCGGTCAGATTCAGGATCCGAAGGTAGCTGGCTCTGGCGCCGATTCCCGGTGGTGGTCCAGCGAGGACAGAAAATCGCCTAACGGCCGGTAGCCTGTTGCAGGCCAGACTGGTCCAACGGATCGGATTGATTCTCGCCGACATGTCTGCCGATTCCCGCTTTTATAGGACTCGCAATAAACAATGACGATCCCTGGACAGCTCGTTCCGCGGATTGGCCGGTTGCACTTCCGGTGGATAGTGGGGGAGAGATGCCAGTCCACGGATCCGCGATCGGTCGCTGGATCAGTCGTTCGGTAGGATCGAGGATCGGCTCGCGGCGGTCGGCCTTGCGTTCTCCAGCTTTTCACCCCGGGGTTGGATGATGCAAAATGTCGTCCCGCTTGCGACTCACCGGAGAAGCGAAGGAAGGTCGAGGTTCTCGAGCTTCTACCGAATCGGTCTACTCGGCCAACAGCTATTCTACTAGAACGAAAGCGACGGGTCTGTCCGGCGACAGTCGGGCTGACGGATCGGTCCCTCTCTCTGTCCTCGCGGGAGATCGGCGCGGACACCCCTGCGAGCGGTTCGCGGTTCGGCTGAGACGGGCAGAGATATTCGGTGATCTACTTTCGATCCGCAGCGGCGGGCTCTGTCCGCGATCGGCACGGTCGATCGCACGGTTACTGGTAGACTGCGGGATACACGCCGCGGCACGCTAGAAGTAAAAGCAATCGCGGTGCGATTAATCGGCCCACGCTTGCATTTAAACGGACGCTCGGGTTTTACACTGAAAGCGCGTTAGCGACACTTGCTCTTCTATTTTTGCGCGGACACTTTCCCTTGCACGCTATCTGGCTCACCGCGCGCGCCGCGCTCATTCGTCAACTGACGAGCCGCGGCTCTCGTTTGCTCCCTCGCGAATTATCTGGCCGGACCGCCCGCCGGCTTTCGACAGGTTAAACGGCGCGCCGTGCGCGCGACGCTGATCGCACGGGATTCGCGTTGTTCCTTCGATCGCGAAGGGTTTACCGGGGAAGACCCGGGGTTTAGGATTTGCTCCGTGTCGCCGTCGAATTCCGCTTCGTTAACACGTTCGCTACCAGCACTTCGGTGATGGTCTCAATTATAATGTTCCCTTCAGTCCAATAAATTTGAACAGAATATTAGAAAAATGAAAGTGAAACGAGTCACTGAGTTTCTAAGTATAATGTAGCTTATAATTTCTAATGACAGTATCTATAGGATTAATTTCATTTTCATTATGTGAAATATAGGATTACCAAATATGTGACGCTGGTAGCGAACGTGTTGACGCTAGAACTATCGAGCATTTGGAATGATTGATGTAATCCGTATAAGCATTGTAATAAATGTAATTATTATAAATGTAATAATATATTATTTTCAGTGTCTTCAGACATTCGTTATAGAGTTCAAGCGAAACTATGTATTTTTTAAATCATTAAATTTTTAAGATATCGGTAATTGAGGAATAAGAAATCTAGGATTAACACTCCCAGATAGGTCCAAGTGACCTTTTTCTGATTTCTTCTGTCATAATTATTGAAAGGACACGAATGCTTCTTTGAGAAATGATCAAAGTGGTCGATTAAGTAACGCGAGAACTAAAACACAAGTCAACTGAAATGTTAACATGTCCACTCTTATTGTTTCTATAAGAAAAGGTGGAAAAGGTCATTTCACAGCTCGGCGATTCTAGCGTTAAGGAACGGGGCGGTTGCAACGCGATCCGCGTCACGTAGGCCGGCGGTGTTCACGGAACGGCGCAGGAAACGGAATTTCAAGTGGGCATTTGAATTTTTCTTGATTTCCGACGCAAAGGGAAATATTATAGAACTATTTATATTCCTCGGCTATGTATAGAACGAGCATTTAAATTTCAAATTCCGTTTTCTGTAGGCCGTCTATTTTTTACGTGCGGTTATCTAACTGCGGATATTTTCGCACCAATTTACAGATATGAAAATCAAAAAGGAAATGTTACTCTCCACGTTTCAACGGAAATCTGCGTGATATTCGCAGTTTAACAATTATGTGCATACAAATGAATGTCGCGTATAATAGATAATAAACTGATAAGATTCCAATGAGCAACTATTTTTCATTGTCGCGCTATATTCCTTTCAAAGAAGCCTTTCCGAGTTCCTATCGTCAATCGAGCGTGATGCTTACGATCGATAAGTTTCAAAGGCGACCAAGAAATCGCCAACGCGAGAAACCGATCGGCTACCGTAGCTCGTAGGTGTCTTGTGCTTCTCAAACGTTATCTTCATCCTGCTTTCCTTTAACTCCTCAATTAAGTCCTTCGGTTGCTCTCTTTTCAGAAATTCAGCGAACTTCATTGAAACGAGCCGAACGCTTCCAAATCCAAAGTCGACGATTTTTAAATAGATTACCGTCGAACGAATGCAGACCGTATCTAATCGATGATTATAGTTCAAAGTATAAGTATCAGGATCTCCTTAAATCATCAGCGACGCGAAATAAATTTTTGCTCGAGATAAAAAGACTTCAAACTTTCTCAGAGCGTTTTACATAAATCATTATGTCAGCCGGCATGATCGATCGGTTTCAGATTTCTTTGGAAACTCCGCTTCTCGGTGTTCCTCCGATCATTCCCTGTAACGTAATTAAATTTCTATTAACCGGTGGCGAGAAACGAGCACAAGTTGCGTTCGATGGAAGTGATAATAATAAGAGATAGGAATAATTTTCGAGATGAATTTTACACCTGCGAATGCCCAGAGTCTACGAATTTGACGAGTAGTTCGGATAGATTCCCCGATTCGACACGTTATCGCGAGAAATGCGGGATCCATAAATTATCGCGGCCAGACAGTGAACTACGGACTACGCCAGTAGCGGATTCCATTGACGAAATGCATCGTTTCAGCGTAACGGGACCGGAAAGTGAATTGCAGTCGAAATCCGAGCTCGATGTTCGATTTCTACTACATTTTACAATCCCCAAGAGATCTGCGATTAATAAACAACGTGCATTTAGTTTATGTAATACCTACAGTCCGTGAACAAAAAGTTAGGGCCACCATTGACGCCATCTTGGAGAAGATCAGCGATGAACCAGCGATTTGATTCTTTCATAGTCGTTTCTTAATATTAATTTTGTATAACTCAGGTTTAATTTGTTTGTTTGACTCTTGGTATTAACGCTGTAACAAAGAAATTATTATTAAATTAGGGAAATGGTAAAAATTATGGCCTTAATGTTTTGATCGAGGACTGTATTTGTATACAATGCTTGAACAGTGTTCATGCAATTAATTGTCTACGGTACTGGTATGGACAGTGAGGGTGATAAAAGATCAGGAAAATACGTTGCTCTGTTATTTCAGCATCATCGAAGATTGAATATCGTCTCACCTTTCCGAGTCTGCGAATCAATGATAACGGGTCCAAAAATAAATGCACTATCTGACATTGTACATTCCCAGATATTCACTTGGCATTATATAGAACCACCCAGCAGCTGAATTGAATTTTTCAATTTTCCTGTACAAACACCAAGAGTGTATTGAAGCTTCGAATGATTTACAATTCAGTTTGCGTATTACGGAATCAGTTTCTTTAGTAATTTCTCAGAGAAGCATCTGTTACCTTTTTAATGATTGCAAAAGAATTCCAAAAGAGTTCGAGACAATCAATCTTTTTGTTCATTTTCGTTCATTATTTATCTATTCTGTTGATTCTTTTTGCAAGCATTGGCCACGCATACATCTTCATTACGAGTACGTTGTTAATATTATTAAATAGATCTGAGTCAGCTGAAAACGGTTACATCAATAAGTCATATGGAAAATTCAAAAGCGGACTTGCTGTTTGGAATTCATGACTCTAATTGTACAAGAATTCAGTAACGGATCATTTTGACACATACGTAGTTCTAACGTTGATAACGAATTTTATTGTCCGGCGTTTAGAAATTTAAAATCAACGGTTTTCAACGTTACATGGAAAAGTTGCCGCGAACCAACGTGGAAAGTAATACAGGAAAACGTGACTCGTCTCGACCGAGTACCGTTGACCGCGCAGAAGGTGGATTCGCGATCGAAAAGGGAAAAAATAAAAGAGTCGTTGAGGCAAGATTGCACAGAGAAAGGAAATGTGCTCGCGCGTTGCACTTTGATCTAAGCTGGCCAATGCGTAATTCATACAATTTTATTGTTTACCAAGATTTCTCGTACAACTTCGAACTTTGTTTGGTGCCTGGAGTCAGTTGTCTTTAATCGTGATGATTAATTGCTCGGAAAGCTTCTGGAACCCGTTCTAATACTGCACATTCGAATTCATCTTTTTCGACGTGTATTATCAATAAAATATTCGTTCCAAAACAATATGAATCTCGGTTATGTAATAACCGAATGAAAATAACAATTATAGTTAAATTGTGTCAATGAATGTCGAAAGAAATGAATTTGAATATTATACGTTGATAAGTTAAATATTTAACAAAATATTCGTTCCAAAAGCGTCTCACGTGTTATGTAATGATTGAGTCGAAGCACTGATTATACCTAAATTATGTCAGGTTGAATTGAAGCAAAGTAATCGGCGAATCATTTGAGTATCCTTAAAGGAAAACGTGTTCGGCCGAGTCGACGCGACGTGGAAAAACTTGAATACTTTCTAAGCCGGCGTTCCGCTAGGTTTCCGGACTCGAAATGTCAAATCGGTAGTTCCTATCTTTATTGTCACGATTTATTCGTGTCTGGTCCAAGGTGACGTTCCCCGACGAGTTTATCGGCGTTTAACATTTTTCTTCACCCCGTGCATTTAATTAATCGTTGCTCAGCGAGACTCCGACGCGAGTGCGTCGCAGACGGATGGAATATAACGTGAAGAGTCCCGAGAGACGATAAAAGGATCGTGCCCGAGGAGTTTTTCCGCTCGGATGATAACGCCTTTGTCTTCGAGCTGCTCGTGTGCTGCATTTTTCGAAAATCTCTTCGAGTCTTCTCCCTGCAACCGTGAATCGTCATCAATATTTTCGAAAAGCATCGTGAACACACGTAGAACGACTTAAGTGTGCCAGAGAAAATTACAGAATCTTGAATATTAAATTTACCTTAAGGCTACATTTATACAGCTGCCATCGCACCTTTTAGCGAGAGAATCGTGTTTTAAAATGAAAAGACAACGGAGGTTTCTCTGAGAAATGATCGAAGAAATTGCTTTCGCAATACGCAAGATTATACGTCAGTCGAAATCTCTTTTAGGGTTTCTATAAAAATATTATATAGGGAGAAGTATTTGTTTGTTTGTTAGTTTCTAATGAAGTTATTTTAAAATCTCTGGGAAACAAGTTTCCCCTTATTGTTTTCTTGCAATTTACATTGCTGATTGCTGCACAGCAACATAACGCAGAAATGCGAGTATAATTCCTTCAATGAACTCATTGATGATTGGGGTCGGAGCAACGTCCATGCTATCGCTTGTTCCGTGCACTTTGTAATTTTGGGGCTCGTGATCTCGTAGATTCGGATCAGTGTGATTTAGTGAAAGATGATTCTATGTCAAATGTTAACGAGATACCGAGAAAAAGTACCGGAGATATCAATCAGAAATTCGGACTGTTGAAACCGTGGACCTTGTCGTGTCAAATGATCGTGTCAACAGATTTAAATTAATCTCCCCTAATTCTCGGTATTAATTCGTTACATAGTTCTAAAATTATACCGGGAACACCACAATGACGAGCAGATAATTCGCAACTTTGTGTCGGCGTCACGCTAGACGCGGTACTCCGGTGGCCGCCATCTTGGAACAGGACTCACGCTGTCGGACATGTAGCGATCGCATTCCTTAAAACTGCACGCTTTCATCTGAACGAAATCGAAACAACGTAATCATTCAATATAATAATACAGCAATCATTAAACTTACACACCATCGCACTCAAATCAGAATTATACTTTACAGAACTGACTAGCAATGGACGCCATTTGCAAAGCTGTCTTCGCTACTATTTCTTGAAACATTAAATGATTTCTTAGAGTAAATTTAATACTTTCATAAGTAATGATGCCGAGTTTATCGTATAAGTCTCGCAATAATTGCTCTCCGCGAAATAAAAACATTGACAAGCTTCGGGGCACGAAGCCATCGGTTCCGGTTTCAGCCGGCCGCTCAAAATCGTTAGCGAACGTTTGCCGCGGCCATCGAGGTTTCTCCCAAGTTTCTTTTCGTCGTTTTCGAATCATCGATAACGCCGACCCGAGACGTCTGGAAGTTGCCAATACATTGTGTATAAATATAAGCACGTTACACGCGCACAGCCGGCCAGCGAATCGCGCGTGGTTTGACGTATCTGGAGGCTCGGCTGCGTGGCCTGCGATACGGTTATCATTATTGATTGCATAACACGGTGGGCACGACCGCGCGATTTGTATACATACACCGCGTACGAAACACGTATACACTGGCAACGATTTCATAAGGCAAAAGTGTTCCAGCCAGTGACCACTTTTCTGTTCGCCTAAACCTTCACCTTTCTCTTATCCGGCGCATTCATCCCTCTCCATCCGATACCAATCTCTGTGGTAACTAATAATTCTATATCTCCACGCTTTCCTTTCCCTTGTGATAACTTCGGTAAAAAGTTATTTGGTTCTATCTGCTCGCACTGAGAGATTGTTCCATTGTTTTATCCAGCAAGTGGGTCGAATTGAGTCATTCCCTGAATTCTTCCAGAATTATTGACAGTAATAGATGCTTCTCCTAGAAATGAAGAAATTTAGTATATACGGATTAAATAGTAATTAAATTATAAATTAATCGATACCTCGATAGATCCAATTGCAGAATTCCTGTAGAAAAGTTTGGAATCAAGTCGATTATTTGGTAATTCTAGTGCTGAAGTTAATTTAACCTGTTTGAGTTAATAATTGAAATGATTATTTTAGATTTTGACGGGTTCATTATGAACTAGAAGCAGAGAGAGAATAATTGGCACCGTTTGCGAAACATTTCTCGCCGATTTCGCAGTCCCCCAGTTTGCCCGAGAGTTGCTTCACATATTTACAACCGAGGAACCCCCGCGATGCGTTTATGTTCCAAACAGAACACGATTATCTATGGTCTTTAACCCTAGAGCCTCATAACGAAGAGGCGCTCTATCGATGCTTTTATTGCATGATTCAATTTTGCTCGATGTTGGTTCAGAAAAGCGAGAATTTCAGGTCTCTATTTTTCGTCTATTGCTTTGAACTGTTTTGGAGAAAATCGTGACGAGATGTCTGGCGATTCTTGGATCATTAGTTATATTCGACGCTGGAACTGCTGGCTTTTCTTAATCGTTTTGTAAAAACCATAACAGTAGGCATTTATTGAAATCTCAATTAATTTATATTTTCTATGCATCACTGAAATAAGTTTAATCGTTTCTCGAAGAAGCGTCTGTGTTTTTCGAGTCATTTTGAGCTAAACGGTAGTTCCAGTGTTAAATGATAAATGTATATATTATAAATATTTCATATAATAATATAATAATAAAGCATGTCATTGCATACTAGACGTTCGACGCGTTATTGTTCAGAAACTATGCGACATTTATGTAACTAGTCGCGAATTTTTATAGAAAGATAACGCCCCTCGTCTGGAATAAACATGTATCGCGTTACGCCTCTGTGCAATAAATATTTATAAAATTTCAGGCGTGTCGCCAGTTTCGCTTTTGCAATTGTGTACGTATTTATCTGTGCACGTGATTAATACAATGGTTAGGACGTGAAGATAGGTCGATACGAGGACGTGCGATGTGTCCGGCGTTTGTTTACAATTAAAGAAAATTCGATTTCCAATGTATAATCAGTCATTGTATAGAACAGTTACCCCTGATGACCAGAGGATGTTGCACAATTGCAATTGCAAACGTTAATCGTGCATTTTGCAATATTCTATGAAATACGGTTGTACATAATATCAGTGTATATTCCTTTGAATATCTTAAATGTAAAATATTATTTTAATTGGAATAACATTTTCAAAAAACAAAGAAAATTATTAATTTTAATTGATAGTTTCAGCGTTGGAAATAAATAATGATCCAAGAATCGCCCGACGATCGGTCACAAATTTTTCCAAAACAGTTTGTCGCGACAGACGAACAACAGAGAATCGTGCCGTCTCGAGGTGCAACAAACTCTTCTCCCGTGCGATAAACAATAGGTGTAAAGTTCAAAGAAACCGCAAGGAGAAAAACTTTCCCGCGCTCTTGCTATATTGGTAAAGAAGTCGGCATTCCGCGACATCTTCCGAAAGAGGAATGCAACTTTTCCTCGAAACGGCACGGTCAAGTGCACGGCCGATAGTCTCGTTTGATTTTAGGTAGGTGTTCCGCGGTACGTATCAGCTGTTCGGGTGACAGTTTGCCAGCCGTGATCAGAGTGTCGAGGCTTATTGTTTGGAAAGCAATATGGCTATCTGGTGACCAGTAACAGTGCGATACGTAGACAAAGGGGCACGCAGTTCTCATGGTAGTTGGAGACGCGCGTTGTGCGTGCCGTTCTAGTTTACTTAAGTAAAAGGAGCCACGGTTAGTCCGTAGAATGTTGGAGCTGGAGGTAGTGCCCGAGAGGTCCCTCGGCTGCGAGCAGTGGGAATTTATTTTAGGCAAGTGACGAAACACTCATAATGTATCGCGGCCTATCCCCTATTACGCGTAATTTTCAAACATGTCAATCTTGATCCGGATCGGCCTGTTAAAACAGGGAATGATCGACGAAACACGGCCTCCTTTGCCCCATAGTGCGTCTTATTGATGCTGCACTCGTACCAGCGTTCGCACTCGACTATTTCGTTCTATTTGTAAACACTTCCTCTGACAATCGCGCGTAAACAAAGAAAATGGGAGCTTATTATAAATATTTTGTTGCTCATTATGTAATTGTTGACAACTATCGCCACTTTGTTGAGCCGTTTCCTGGCTGAGAAGCCATTCTTAGACTGACAATTTATCGGAAATAGACGCTCGGCTCTGCCATCACCTAAAAAATTAAAGAGAACTCGGTAATGAGAGTCGTTTGGTCATGCCAGACGATTGTTTATGCGTATTTATTATGAAATAATGTATAACTTGGATAAAATGAAGTTATACGACGCACAAGATGATTGTAGGACAATTTTTGTTTACCTTGGTTGGTGTTTTAGGTATGCATTTTTCCCAATCTGTTGCTATAATACAATCCCAAGTGGGCATTATAAGGGGAGTGCAAGTCCTGTACAGCGACAGTGTAAGTACGCATGTTAATGAAGCGGTATCCTGTGGTTTTATAATTTGATAGCATTGGTTATCGCATTAAAATATGGTTTACAGAATCCTTTAGATGTAGACTTAGTGATAAATTTACCTCATGATGGTGTTCGGCTTATATTTGACCCTGTGGTGCAGAGGCTCAAAATAATTGAAATTTATAATATGAAATTAGTGAAACTTAAGTACTGCGGTTTACCCTTCAATTCACCAGAGGTATTACCGTCTATCGAGCAGATAGAACATTCGTTTGGTGCAACTCACCCTGGTGTTTATGATAGTGATAAACAGGTATAATGTTTCCATATTCTAAAAGAAAAAAGGAAAGAAAATAATCCATTATTACCTCTAAAATTGTGTTCTGTTCACAGGTGTTTGTTTTAAATTTCCGAGGTTTGTCATTTTACTTCCCCATAGACTCCAAGTTTCAACCTGGCTATGCACATGGTCTTGGGTCGTTACAATTTCCAAATGGAACTTCCCCTCTTGTAGCAAAAACAGCTATTTACGTTGGTAACATGGCTGCTGGAAGTGGAAGTGATGAGCACAATTTGAAGGCACCACCACCTCCTTTACCACTTGTAACTATTTTTTGTCAATATTCCAGTGCAAAGTATATACCAATAAGGACTGCATTGACACTGTACATTCGTGTTTCCATAGGTCTGCTATCACAATAATCTTTATTTAGAGAAGGCAGATGTTATACGTGATAAGATTCGTACTCGAGGTCTTAGACTACATCTTTTCACAGAAGGTAGCTCTGTAACTAGGGTATTGCTGGAACCGAAGAAACACTGCTTGACCAAAGAGGTAGTACATTATAATTTCATTGTCTGTTTCAACATAGAATGAAAATTTGATGGCAATTAGGTGTTATTTGGCGATACCTGTGAAGATGTGCTGAGCGCATTGGGTGCCCCGTCTCGTGTCTTCTTTAAGGCTGAGGATAAAATGCGAATACATAGCCCCCATGCGCATAAACGGGACAAAATAAGACGGTCCGATTTCTTTTACAATTATTTCACCTTAGGATTGGTAAGTATAATTAACATACAATCACAGCACTCAGTGAACATCGCATTCTTACAATCATGTTCATTTTCAGGACGTCTTGTTTGATGCCAAAACCCAATGCGTCAAAAAGTTTGTGTTACACACAAATTATCCGGGGCACTATAACTTTAATATGTACCACCGTTGTGAATTTTCGCTGACTTTACCGTCTGAAAATACTGAATCGGGAAAACTGATTGATGTTTCCCCAGTGAATGTATTGGTAAGATACAGAATCCATTTTGTTTGTAGTTCCAACCGTGATCATAGTATCTAAAGATCTTTAAAAAGAAAGCACACATTACGTTTAGCATTATTAGTGGAGAACAAAACATTTGTATTGCATCCCAGCATTTAAATTCTTGACGTTAAGGGCTAAAATTGATGTATAAATCCGCTGGTCCAGACAAACGTTCCTCTGACGATGAGAAAAATTGTTAATTAATTTTTACTGTTTAGATCACTGCCTATACCAAATGGGATCGAATCAGCGAGCAATTGAAGGCTAGTGCACGACCGGTGGTCTTGAATCGAGCGTCTTCTACGAACACAACAAATCCGTTCGGATGTACGTTTTGTTACGGTATACGTGATGCGATCGTCGAGGTCATGGCGAATCAACACATTGCTAGTGTAACTTTGTACAGAGCGGCGTGACCTTGATTATTCGCGCAATATGGTGCATTATCGAGTGCTCTGTAAAGAGCGAACGAAGGAAATGGCATTGGAAGGATGAAAATAAAAAAAAATATATATATATGTAAGGATAGGAGGCACGTTTGGACGTTGGTAATCGTGTAATAGCATCTGCTCTGAAGGACTGTGTTATCCCGGACAGAAGTGATAAGCTAGAGTAACGCGTGTCGGACAGCGATGCAATTTTTTAAACAGTAACGTAACATTAGAGAAATGTGCAAGGATGTCAGACGGGAGAGAGGTAAGATTTTCAATTACCTGGGGAGGCGATGCAACGTGAGGCTCAGAAACCAAGCGATATCATTTTGAATATCACGTATTGTTGCTTATAATATTTTACATTCTTCCTTGGGTTCGCCCGTCAAAGGAAACAAACAAACAAACAAAAAAAAAGGAGAAAAAGTGGAAAAAAAGCAAAAAGAACATCAACTAAGGGGTACAAGTGTCTGCAATATTCGATAATATCATATTTAATATACTGTTTTTATCTTTTGGTTATAAGTTTTAAATATAGCTGACAAAAAAAAAGTGGTTTTGTGTGAGCAATCAATATTGTAACATTTGAGCTCGATAAATTTAAAAGAACAAAAAAAGAAAAAAATAAACGAGGGAAGTAGTTCCAGTGGATAATAAGAATTTTGATAGTTGATGAATCTACAATGATTATAACAACAATAACGATTCAATAATCGTAAAAAAATATATT